AATAGATCGGCGAAGTGTGGATGCAGATCGGTGCCAATAATTCCCGGTCGAAACAGCAAACATACTACCTCAAGTTCTCCAGTCAGCAGATTTTGGAAAATTCGGACGGATGAAAATTGGCTTTTATCAGTAATTTCTGGCGGGAACTGCGTATGCACAATTTTTTTTCTCGTCAATCTTCTCGAGATCGGATCGATTTTTCTTATGCGAGCCCGGCAGAGAATTTCGAAGAAATCGAAAATCTCTTTGAGTTATCAAAAAATCTGGCTTTTTATCCGCGATCGATGATTTGTACGGTTTCGGAGAAGTTTGATTCGATCCACGGGTATTGTTTCCTGATTTTGATAATTAAAATTAGTTGTTTGTTTATTTTGAAGCTTGTCGCGTTCGGCCGACTCCGGGCGCACTGGTGTTTCCGCTGCGCGCTAAGTGCCGTGAATTCCACGTATGGTCTATGGACCGTTTTTATTATTCACGTTTTCAAAAATTTGTCGGCGTTGAGCGCCTTTTGTCTGACGGATGAACGTCATACTTAATGTCATAATTAAGAACAGAAATCGAGCAAATTCTGTTTCGTAAATATTTAAATTGTGACATTGTTATTATATTACTAAAAAATTTTGAAAAGTAATGTCTCTATTATTTTTTATCTCTTATTTTAGAAAAATAATTTTTAATTATTTTATTTTAATTATTTAATGATAAAATTAATATATTTTTTACAGCATAAATAAGTTATAAAAATCTTTTCAAAGATATAAATTATACCATGATTCTTTTGATTTTTATATAACGTATCAAATAATGTATCAAACGTACTATTTCGCAGATATTACACTTCGTTAACTACCTTGTTGGACAAGTACGTCTTGCATCAAGCACATACATAAAAATACACAAATAATAAATGCATGTTTAAATTTTGATTATAATTTCGCTTATATAGAAATAATAAGTTTGATAAATTTTGTATGCGAGAAACGAACACAATGTAATGGTGATTTTCTAATTATTGTGTTTAGTGACAGACGCAGAATTTTGTACGATTTTTGTTGCCGATTTTCTGGCAGATTATTCCAAAATAGGGCCAGCAGGCCCTATTCGATTTCTGTTATAATTTTGCCGCCACGATGTGACAGCATATTACGTTTGTATCACATCCGGTGGACTCCACGATTCTTCTCTTTCGGAAAGAACTAACGGCCGCTAATCGGCAAACGAAAAATGCCTCGAACGATCTAGAAAGATTTTTCTCTTTTATTATTGGAAATGCGAGTCTCTTAAAATATGCGGAATTTCTCTCGAGACACGTCCTGTAATCAAATCCTCCGGAAATAACAATTTTTTGTAGACAACAGTCCCGTCGGCGCCAAAAGATTTATGGCATTCTACTAATAAAATTGGAATTCCTGACGTGTGGAAAACGCATTGAGATCGTTCAAGGTCAGCACTCCCGAAACCAGCGGGAGACTAAGAAAGCGCCAACCAGAAGATTGACAGCCGTTGGCGAATACACCAATAAATAAATTGAAGTATGGAACGACGGATGAAATTTTTAAAAACTAATTCCGTCATTTGCCGGGAAAACCAAAAACATAAAAATAATTACGACCCACAGAACGCCGCTCCCCTGCTTTCCCTACACTCGCGATTTTTCCAAACTATCATTCGAAAAGTAACATAGAGATGCATTACGCTCTCAGAACTTTCCCATCTTTCCAAAGCCGTAATTTTGAATATAAATCGTGATTCTAAACAGATCGCTCTCTTTTCTTATCTTTCCGAGGACCTCATCACCTGGAGCAGCCGGTGAGATTTTTAACAATTAAAGTGCGCGACTTAAACTCTTTCGAGTGGAGTAATTTCGAAAATTCCAGCAATCGCCACGCAATCGTCTCGACCCACGCGCCAATCTTCTCAACATCACCAACAGTAAGTCGAATTTTCCTTCTTCTACTTATCAATTCGATTGTAACGCGCTCCTGCCCCGTTTACGAGACCGCGAAATTCTGTCTCTTAATTCTTCTTAGTTCGCATCACTATCTTTCGACACTCCATCTCACTTTCTCCCTCTTTTTCATCACCTGTCTATAGGTTCGCTTTTAGAACACGCGGCCCGTCGAGAAAATCGGTGCATTGTCCATAGATCCGCTCTTTGGATACGTGGACGCCGAGAAAATCAGTGCGCTCTCTCTCTCTCTC